TAACATATATATGGGTTACCAAAAAAGTAAGCCTTGGTAGGAGAGAAAATCTTTCCTAGTTGTTCATAAGGGACCCTGAAAATAGGAATTAAATTTAGGACGTAAATTAATTCGGGCATCCTCTAATAAGTAGATTTTTATGAAAAGTATGTCTTTGCATGACAATAACGTATAATTTTTGGTGTATTATTTCGAAAACGAGTGAATAATTGTACGAGGCGCAGTGGTGTAGAGTATCTAAAGGTCAATCTTATCCAACTACAATGTCTTTACTTGAATTTACCTAATTTTTTCTATACAAAAAAATCTTTTTCCTGTTTGGAAGTCTATATTAAGAGATTTTTGCTGCATTAAAAGAGAAATATGAAGACTTTACAATGGCTTAGTAAGTCCCTGGTTCATTTCGACTCATTCTTGTCTATACATATGAATGATCTTTTCTTGCAACTCAGAAAGTTAATTTTTACAGGACCTTTTTGATATACCGGTATAACTGCAAAATGTTACATCTATAATGGGTTGAGAACGTTTAATTACGCTTTAAGCACTCCTCTTTTATTTCCTGAGCTATTTCCCTTATTTTCCAACTAATTAGCTTTCGAAATGTTTCTATTTTTCAGATTTCTGTTGGTTATGTAAAAGTATACCAAATTTTCCTTTTCTAGTACAGCTATCCGATACTAGAAAAATCATATACTTCATTGCCAGCTGTAAACTTAATACTCGATACATCGACTCGATAATCCGATCCCAGTTTTCATACATTTTACCATTTTAGAACGTAGTAATTTTGTTCAATACACAACACGCTTAAACGTGCCTTCACAAAATGCCAAGAAACGTGTGTGTCACTTATAGTAAGAAACGGCCATGTCACATATATGTAAAGGTTGGTATCGAACTAGTTCAGTAAAACAATTGCGAGAAAAAAGTGAATGATATAAAAACTCATCAAAAAGAAATTCAATCAAATTTCTTAAATTAAATAAATTGCGACAGTATATCTGCATGTTACTTGAATTTTCGACTTACAAAGTATCTAAATCGTACAAATATAATTTGCAGAATTTTTGAACCACATTCCTAACTACTACGAACATTCGATTATTGCACCAATATTGAAATTTTAAATAATTGAAATTCTTTTCATTTCTTTGCTTCAAAAAAGAACAAATACAAATCAACTGAAGTCATATTGAATGCTTAGTATAGAAAATTAACTGAACTATTGTTAAAGAACGACTATCACATGCAAGGAATGCCCAAAAATATGGTGCGAGATCAATTAAAAAAAGGGCAGGAAAGCGATTAGTGTTACTCTTTAATTAATTTTAAGTTTAGGCGGATACTTATACCCTATACCACTTGTAGTAGAAGAGATATTATATTAAGCTTGTGAGATTGTACGTGAATGATATCAGGTAGAAATACTTTTTATTACGACAATCAATTCAATATCATTGTTTAGACCGTTTTAAATCTGATGTCTGTTCACGTTTTTTTTGAGCTTTGTGCGTCAAAGGAGATCGATTTAACGATATTGAAATTGAAACAAAATGAACAAATTTTTCACAAATCTTCACTGAATATTTCTTTTCAATACAGAGTATTTAATGATGAGGGTTGGCTAATTGTTTAAATTTGATTTCAAACCTTTCACGCTTTTCACGCTTCGTTAGTTTAAAAGCGCCTTTTTAAGCTTTTACAACGATGCATTACGTTATAGAGTAAAATTTAAGGGCGTAATTACCGATTTTGTTGATTATAAATTCGCGATTTCCACTACGACTATGTTAGTTGAAATTAAAACGTTACAGAAGAATAATAAGAGACTTCTATTAAAGCAAAAGATTAGTAAGAAAGCCCTGTCACAGGTAATTTTACTTTACAGGTGAAGGCAAGTAAGTAGAATTCACCATGTGGGGTCTTATTGTTGTCTCTCGGGTGATATAAGAAGATTACTTTCAATACTCTTTATCAGTCAGCAGCAAAGCGCAAAATGAATAAAGTGCATTTAACACATTGCATTTAATAAAGGTTACAGAAAAGGAGCGAAGCTTACAAAAATTTAAGTGTTACGCTGGGAGCTGAGGTTGTAAATGTTCCGATCTGCAAAAGACAATTTTCCCGATTGCGCTAGGGAGATTTGAGTCTTAAAGAGGATCATTTACCAAGCGATAATAACATTTTCCGATCTTTGTTGAAGAGTAATCCAAATATAACTCTTAAAAGTCCTCATCCAACATTCGAATTCTGACTACTGAATTCTAATTTAAACCTAGTTTTCAAATAATTAATTTTTTAAAGTCATTTACTTATTCAAACATATATTTGCAAAATATTATGAATCATTTGAGTAAATAAGTTTTCTTTTTTTTTTTTTCTTTTTTTTACTACTTGAAAATTTTTCTAAGAATTTATTTATTACGCATAACAACCATACCAACAACAAGGAATAAGTATTTAAATTTAAATTAATAATTTTTTAATGTATGAAATATGATATAGAACCTAAATAGAAAAATGCAAATAAATTTTTTATGAATATTTTATCAGAACAGAGAGTCGTAAGGCAAGATATGAGAAAAAGAGAGGAAAAAATCTACGAAGAGCAAAAGAGACAGCTGTTGAAGTCTTTAATGTTGTTAAGCTAAACCCGCTGTTAAACCGCAAATTAACAGTATTCTGTTAATCAAAATTTATTTACACATCTAAACATATGTACTGCTGTGAAGTGAGAGGAAAGATTTCTTTGATTACATGCACCATCCACTTTTTGCTGGCGTTGTTATTGTAAAATTTTCTTTTACTCATGTTAGAAAAAAGAAAAAAGGAAAATGAATAAAGAAAGAGAATCACCACCTTTTAACAGTTGCCTACATGAATATAAATCCAAACATTTTCTAAATTTGTTTTGAGATCATTTTTAACAAATCAAAATTAAGTGCTTCTTCTTTTTATATATATTTAAAATAATCTGCTGCAATAAACAGGAAAATAAATTTTCCTCTCAGAGAAGGATTTTATTATGCTCAGAATTTTTTTAGTGCCTCCATAAGAAATGTACAGTAAAGGCAGTAAAGTAAATTTTACTCTCGAAAAGACAACATTTTAAATAACAAAACAAATACATATATACAACACACACACACAATAAATATTTTAATTATTTTAATGTAATAATTCAACATAATAATTCAATTTGAATTTGCTTACTTCTTTGATGTTAATAATAATAAAGTAATTTTATTTTATTTATATAAAAAATCCTTCAAATCCTGTCAATATTTAAACATAAGTCTGAAAACGTAGTCTCTCCCATAAACCCACTAAAGCCATAAAAGTATTTAAAATAGCTATGGATCCTCATGAACATATATTTGAACAGCATCTCCTCGACATTTCTTTTCTTCTTTTAAATCCAAAGGTTTATAGTTAGATCTAAAATCTGCTTAAAAGTAAGCTACTTTCTCAAAATTATTCTGCGGCCTTATTGTATTACTTTTGATTTACCGAATAGATAAAATAATAATGTTATAGAGAATTGAAATTTTTTATTTGTGTTTTTATGCACACTTTTGCTTTCTAATCCTTTTGTAATAAAACTTTTTTTTTTTAAATCAAAATATCTGGAAAACAACCATTTCATACTCGAATTATGGTACAAATTTGAATTATAAATATTTATTACATGATTTTAAATGGATGCAAGCATACACCTCAGCGAGACTATGTAGAATTCTCTTATGTATATATCTCATTAAGCCGATAAAGCTTCCTTCTAAATGTTGTAAACATTTTGACAAAATCGTGGATAAACTCTCACCGCGAGTGTTATGACGTACGAAAACAAAAAACTTTTTCACTAAAAAAATGCCCTTCTTCTCCTGGCAGGATCGCCAATTTGTAATGGAAAAGATTTTTTGTTTGTACAAATTTATTTAAACACGAAAATTGTATATGTTTGCTCGATTACAATTTAGAAAGTCTTCAATCTGCAAAGTATATTATTTGTACAGTGTACATAATAATAATAAAAATAATACCTCACATCTCTAGCTAATCAAACTAACATGTTTACTGTGTTTTGCCGTTGTTGTTGCGTCCGCACTCTCTCATTCGATTCAGACGACTTTTTTCTCTTCAAACCTTGAGACAATTCCCACTCGAAATGGGGGGTATTAAAAATTCGACTCATGCTAAAATTTTAATTTACACATTTGCAGAAATCGCTTTCTGAGAGTAACATTTACTTTGCTATGTATATGAATTAAATTCATGTTCGACGTTTGAGTTCGTGAGCTGCATACATTTACAACCGACATGTTTGAGTTCATTCTACTAAAGAAATTCTCTATTATTAATAAATTTTTATTTTTTTTTGAACTTTTGAACGGTGAAGTCTGGCGAGAGCGGAGTGTGTATGCAAAATAAGCAAAATAATATTCGTAATATTCGACAAATTAAACTAAAATAAATGAATAAAAAAATTAAATTAATTAAAAAAGTAAGTTACCTAGAAATATTGAATAATAAAGGTCTGTGTAAAATTTCTTATCGCAAGAGTTTGTGCGAAATAGTGTACATAAATGAGAAGAAAACTATTAACGATAAATACTTTTACTTATGTTTAATTAATTAATTAATGTATATTTAGTACTGTTAATATTGAACAATATACAAACGGAATGGTTGAACATTACATTAACTTAAATTTTTATTTTATGTATAAAGACTAAAGATAGTCAAGAAATAAAATAAGAAAGTTAAATATTTAAATATTCCAATAAAATTTAAACGTTAGTGAATATGTGCGTGTTGAATAAATTGAAAATATTGTGCGTCAACTACGTTTTTATCTCTTTTGTTAATTTTTTTGGCTTGTTTTAAAGCTGAACTTTAAGAGACGAAATTTTAATTAAAATCACTCAAAGTAAGCAAAACAAAAACAACAGCAACAACCACAATGTAAATAAATAAAAACAGACGAACTCTAACTTAAGCAAAAATTTATAAATTTTATTAAAAAGAGAAGAATAAGTGACTTGCAAAATACATTTAAAAGAAAAGACAGGTTTGCGGGGTCGTTGAAGACACACAAAATAAAAATAATAATAAAAACAGCTAAATAGAATAAATTGGCGCGAAATTGCAAAAAAAAGTAACAAAGTGAGAAAATAAAAAATTGAACGTAAAATAAAAATTTTTAAATTTGTAGTATTTGTGTTGAAACCACAATTTTTAAGGCTTGCGATTGATGTTAACATTTGTGAAGGTAACGCTTCAAAATAATTTTACTAATAATTATTAAATATTATTAAAAAAAATTAATACGTTTCTCAACCTTCATAAGAATATTTTGATTCTGAATGTTTAGCTACTATTCATAATTGCATCTCTTCTTTAATTTTTTTTTTTTTTAACTTGAAAGCGTCTCATTTCATTTTTATTATCTATAATTTTTTCATTGAGAAACTTTTTTTAATTCATAGAAATGATTTTCTTTACCAATTATCGACGAATTTTAGATGCTCTTGTCTTAAACAGTCGTAAGTTGTAAGACGATATTACTCCCATTGCTGGAAAGTGTTCAATAAATAACTATTAGTAGGTCGCAGAGTTATGAATAAATAAATTTTAGTTCATGGTATGAGTAAATAAATTTTAGTTCAAAAACTAAAATATACTTTTTATTTAGTCAATCGTTGAAATATAACCGTCCTCTCAAAAATTTTCTATTTAAGTAAATATTTAAATGGACATAGAACCATTTTATAGAACGTAATATATGAAATGGTTTTAAGTTGGATTTCCTTTTAAGATGTCTTGTCGCCTTTCTTGTAAAGTTCACTTAGATCAAAAGAAAAAATATTGCAGGGGGTCGATGATAATAATTAAGCTTTTGTTAAGCAAAAAAAACATTTACTCTAAAACCAATAGATTTGCAAAATATTTCAATTTAGGGAAAAGTGCTGCTTTTATAGTTTTTAAAAAATGATACCTATGTATTCCATCAGAGCGATGAAAGTGTTTCTTGAATGCTCGTAAGCCCGTTTTTTTTAACATCAATTAACAATTATCATAGATCTTTTCCGACAACCGTACATCGTTTTTCATACGAAATTTCCTATTAAAAGTAAAAAACTATAATCGAATGCTGTCCACCGTTAAATGCTTTAAACCACTTCGCTGAATACGCTTATTCTGGTATGATTTTTCGAAACAAAGTAGTAGTCGAAAAAGTGGTTCTACTCGAAACATTTTCGATAGGGTTCGTCAATGGGCCAAAACAAGTCGGTGTACATAAACTTCATCAAAAAGTCTGAAAATTTGCAACCTGAACCTAATAATGCAAGACTCATCAAGATTAAAATATTTCTCGATTCAAGCACTGACGAATCCCCAATCATTATAAGAGTGAATTTAAATTGCATTATGTAATATGTTAGTTCGAAATTTTCCATTAAATACTAATATGACTTTTCAGGATTTCTTGTTTCAGCTAACTCATAGTCTCGCATTAATCAAAAGCTACAGATACCACAGTCAGATTTGAAACCTTCTAAACAATCTTCGGTGGGGATTTAAACAAAATTTTATAATTGAATATTTAAGATTTATTTTTTTCCATAAACATTGCTTTGCTGGCGAAGCCATCGATAAGTTATAGTTCATTGGTCTGTCTCCCACAAAAAAATTATGGGCCGAAAAAGGTCGCAGCTACACCAGGGTGTAGAATAGTTCAGGACGTAACATCAGCCCGTACGGTAAAGAAGTTTCGATCGTCCATCTGTCACGCTAAGGACTCCTGCGGGTGTATTTCTTCAATAAGGCCGCCTGTGGAATATTTTTTGGATAAAAGTGAAACCCCACTAGTACAGATTTAACTACCTTTAAATTGACACGTGCTTTTATCCGTTACAACCTTCGATTTTTTGACTACATTAATATAATATATTATCCCGTTCAACAAAAGTTTCTGACTTTGATTAAGTGATTAAAGTGATTTTTATGCACAAAATTTTGAGTCAAGCATCGAAGACGATATCTTGAATTAATTAGCGGAATTCTTAATCTCGATTCATTGTGGATAAGGATCGGTTAATAGCTGTTAACATTGAGTAAATTAGATAGCTGTTGATTATCCACTTGTGATAGACATGATAAGTATTGCGTTTACAGCTATCGACGAAGTATGCATTTCTCTTATTACCGAATGACAAATCTTTCCAAAGTGAAATTGCTGTTAAGTAATATATTAAAATTATGATCGAGTTTGCCGTTAAACGGCCACAGATTTCCCATCTTCTACGGCTTCTTCTAATCGAATATTTTAGATTTATTTCTCCCTCTATGAATACAATTGCGTCTGCCAAGCTGCCTGTTAACTATATGTTGATCTCCATATAAAAGTATCGACGCAGAATCTCAACTGAATTGAGAGGATTTGATGTCCAGTCAATGTGAGTCGAATGAAATTTAGTAATACCTTCTGATCGAATGTATCAAAGTTACCTACTGTTCTTAATCCGCTTGAGTGGCCGAGTAAACAAGAGTCTCGACCAGCAATTCAGTGGTCGTGGGTTCAAATCTCAAGTGCGGTAGCGTTTTTTAATAAAGCCGAAAGCCTTAGATGCTAGTGCTTTAACACTAAACGTGTACCACGCGCGGTCAAATGACCGTTTTTAAACTTTCGTTTAAAATTTCTCGCATAAAACGTTATTGTGTCATCATGTATCTTATTGAATTTTCCTAAAATATACATACAAACTATTTTTCAATATTTACAACTTTTTTTTAATGTGTATTCTCCGAGAACAAATTATACCATGCATAGTCTACCATGAGCGGTCATTTGACCGCTTGAAAAATTTATGTTATTTACGACTATATTCTTTGATAATCGCGTTCTTGAAATTGTTTTACGAGTCTACAATGTAATTGTAGACAATCTACAATCTAATCAATGTGTCCGACATTCGTGGAATATCAATTTATTAGACAAAATAAATAATATCGACAAGGATTGTTCGGAAGATGATCAAGAAGTTTACGATATTGATGATGATACTGCAGAAAATTATTGTGACTTATTTGACAGTGATACGGACGAATAGAAAATTTTGAATATGCGTAGAGGACAGGAAAGAAAAACATTTATAGTTAGTTCCGAAAGTACAAATGAGGAAGAGATTGAAACTGCTATGACCGGAACTGTTTGAAAAAAAATAAAAGAAGGGTCTAAGAACATCGGGTGGAAGAACATCGATTTGTAATATTTTCAAGGAAATATCAGGACCGACAAGATACGCTAAACGAAATATTATGAAGGGCAGAGCATTTTCAGCATTTTCTTTGATTATTGATCATAAAATGATTAAACATGTAAGAGAATATACGGAATCAGAGGCTTTTCGAGTGTTGAAAACGAAATGGAATTTATCTATTGAAAATTATATGCATTTATTGGACTTCTATATGAGGCTTAAAATATTAATTTATCATATTTATGGAACACGAAATGGGGTCCGTCGTTGTTCTCGACAACTATGAGTCGAAATGACTTCGCAGAAATCATGGGATTTTTTTCGATTTGACAACAAAAATCAAAGAAGCCAACGCTTCCCAGTTTGGTATAAATTTATCGAAAACAGCCAAAACTGTTATAAACTAGGAGCATATCTTACTATGGCTGAACAATTGTTTCCTAAAAAGGCGCGTTGTAAATTTACTCAATATATGCCCAACAAACCGGACAAATTTGGTATAAAATTCTGGTTAGCTTCCGATGTAGCTAGTAAATATATAGTGAACGGCTTTCCATATTTGGGAAAAGATGAAGGGAGAGAATCATTAATCCCACTTGAAGAGTTTGTAACTTTGAAATTGGCCATGGGAGAAATATAATAGTTGACAATTTTTTTACAAGCGCGTCATTAGCGAGTAAACTTCTAGCAAAAGGAACTACTCTTGTTGGAACTATCCGGAGAAATAAAAGAGAGCTACCAAAATTAGCGAGACAGGCAAAGAATAGTATGACACGCTTCTCAACAATATTATACAAATCGAAAGATTTTATTCTTACAATTTATAAAGCTAAACCAAATAAAAAGGTATTGATACTTAGTTCAATGCATTCATCCGTTGAAATTGAAAAAAATGACCCGTACACCAGAGACAATTAGAGTTTATAACAGTACAAAATTCGGTGTAGATGTAACCGACCAAATGGCCAGAAAATAAAGTGTAAAATCTAAATCTCAAAGATGGTCTTTACAGGTCTTTTTCAATATCTTAGATTTAGCCGGGATAAACTCTTGGATTTTATATAAAGAAGCGACGGGTGAGGAAATATCGAGGCAAGAGTTTTTATTTCAGTTGGCAGAAGAACCTGGGACCGAATATCAGAAAGAGCAACAGATAAGCCAAGAATGCTCATCAAAAACGATAATAGATACAAACACTGTTTCTTCTGAACGGAGATCTTGTCAAATAAGATATTGTAAAGTCAACAAAACAAACAAAATTTGTATAAAATGTAAAAAAACGTATGTGGAAAATGTGTAATACAAAATGCTGTAATTTGTAAAAAATGTGATGAAAATGCATAAAAGTAAATAAAACATACAACATCGAAAAGCGGGTAACGAGTTTTTATTGTAGCATCACAAAAATATTTTGTTTACTATCTACTTTACATATGTTTTTTAAACGCGGTCATTTGACCGCTCATGGTAGAAATAGGTATACATGAAATGTCGGTAGATTTATTGTTAAAAGTTTAGCGTTCGAATATATTCTCTGGTTAAATTAATAATAATAATAATAATAATACCTACTGTTCTCAATAATATGTCCGTCACTACGTTCGCTATTTTTTTACTCAATTGAAAGAGTAAAGAGAACAATTGACTTAAAATCTCACGCTTATCAATCAAATATTTGTAAACAACGTTTGCGTTGCTTCCAATTCATATTTCTAAGTATTATCAACACAAAGATAATATTCTTTTCATTCTTCATTAAAAAAAGCTTAACGAAATTTCATTACCGTTTCTTATTATTTTTATTTTGTTCTTAAAACAAAAAATTAAAGGAACTAAAAAAGCATAATTGGTTTAGCTCGAACTTTTTAATGCCTACACAACATGAATAACTATTGTCGAAGCATGCCCCGTTTTGTTTATTCAATAGTGTGCTTCTTAACAGCCAAAAAAGGAGGCATCAGAACTATCTCCACCCTCAGTAGTAAATTGTTGTTGCGGTCACGCCCAT